CTCTGAAACACTGGAGTACGCTTGCCAGTTGCTTTTAGAACAGCAGCCACAAGTCAGCTGCGTTCTAAAATAAACGCTGGGAAACCGCAGCCTGGCGGCGGCCCTCCCACATACTTTACCGAAGCGGGGTGCCCTGTGCCTCCCCCGCATCCAGCCTGTGGCTCGCTGGGCGCCGGCGAGGAGCGGGATGCCGTGAACACGCGGGTGGCTGACCTCGGGCAGCGGCTCTCGCGCGGGCCATGGCGGCCCCCCACCTCCTGCAGGCTGGGCCTGAGCTGGGTGGTGCCAGTGGATGTGGGGCGAGTGTGCGGGGCTCCCGGGGGGCGGAGGCGGAGGGGGTGGCCCGGCTTCAAGGGGCCAGGCAGGCCGCACCCAGACGCTTCCCCCTCCTCCCTCTGGTGGGGTCGGAGCTCGCCTGGGAGGCATCTGTGGCCGGTGTGGTCTCCCGACGGCCAGACCCCTCCCCGCGGCACCTGTCACCCCACCTGTGTTCTTATCCCGGGGGCCGCCCCTCCAGTCGCCAGAAGTGGTGGGGACACAGGGAGGGGAGCAGGCTGTTTCCTGCCCAGGCCAGACCCCTGCGTACTGCATTCCGTCCACTCCCTGGGGGCCTGAACGCTGCCTGGTTCCCAGTGTCTGCACGGCCACAGCTGGACTTTAGCGGCAGGTGAGGGTCAGGGGTCCGCCTAGAGAGCCTGAGACGGAGCGGGGAGCCTGTGGCATCTGCACCTGGGCCCCAGTGGCTGCTGGCCGGGGGGTGGGGGCAGGAGGCCTCAGATGGCCTAGCTGTCCAGCATGTGCCTGGGCTTCCGGCAGGGAAAAAAAGGCAGGCGAGGAGCAGGGTGGTGGGTGGGCACTGAAGGCCCACTGACCTGGCCAGGAGGGTTCCGGGTGATGAGGGCTCACAGGGGCGGTCAGCTGCTGGAAGCCTGGCCTTACAGCTGGAGTGGGGGGCCCTGGGGACCCGGCCTGGGAATAGGCAGGACAGCTGCAGGCTCCTCACTGCCCCTGGGCCACGCTGGCCGTGGGTTTGCATGGACGGAGAACACAGGCTCAGCCGCCCATGGAGAGGTTTGTCCCTGCTCAGGGCTGCAGCTGGCTACCTGTGCGCGTCCACTGCGGGGTGTTCTGGAGTGTCCCGTCTGCTCGGCAGACTGGGGCAAAGCCCTCTCTGGGACCTGAAGTGTGAATGGGCCTCGTGCACTCTCCAGGGCAGCCGACCCTTCCCTGGCCTCCAGTGCTGCAGTCAGAGCCAGGGGCCAGCAGGTGGCGCTGTGGGCCTGCCCGCCTCGACGCTGGGAGACCACTGGCCTTCGGGAGGGAGTTTCAGAGGGATGCTGGGCCTGAAGCCCCCCACTTGCTCCGCTCACGCCGGGCACTGTCCTTCCTCCGCCCTCCTGGCAGTGACCTCTGACAGGCAGCCTGCTCCTCTGGGGCCCCTCCACTGTGTGGCCCCTGCTGTCCCACGTCAGCCTGGGGACAGGCTAACTCCCCTTTCCAGTGGACGCTGAGCTGAGGACGCCGCACTGTGACCCCACGGGGAGTCCTGACCTGTCAGCGTGCCCGGTCTGCAGAGTGGCGTGACACCAGCTGGCACTGCCAGGCGCCCACCCCGCAGCCGGGACCCCAGCTGCCCGGCTCTTGACTGCCCCTTCACTGTCTCCTCCCCTGGCTCCCCTGGCCCTCGGGCTGCGTCTCTGTGTGGCCCCCTCCAGCCCAGCCCACAGAAGGCCCTGGGCCTCAGCAGAGGTGCTGGCTGGTTCTTTTTAAAGATTTATTTAATTGTTTCCAGAAGTGGGGTGCAGACCAGAGGTGCGGGAGTGAGTGGATTCGGCCGAGACGGGGTGGAGAGCCGACAGGCGGATCCACTGAATCACCTGCGGAGGGGGCGGCGGGGAGATAGGGGTCTCCTGCGTCCTGGGGTCCCTCCGTGGTGGGGGATGGGCTCAACACAGCTTCATACGCTGAGACTCACCCCTGCACCACCAGGGAGGCCCCTGGTCCCCAAATGAAAGCCTCCGGATACCCAACTCTGGCTGGGGCAGCCGGCCCCCAGCTCACGGGTGGGGGCAGCTGGGGGCAGCCCCCTTGGGGCTGGAGCCGGGTCCCGGACCCCAGTGGGAGACAGGGCACCTGCCGACTCCTCGCTGCCCCTGCACCGCGCTGGCCATGGGTTTGTGTGGCCGGAGAGCACAGACCCAGCACCAGGGCAGCCGGTCTCCGGGGGCCACAGGACGGGAGCAGGTGAGTCCAGGGTGACTGTCCAGGCCAGAGCCGCCACCTGCAGGGGCCGGGAGAGGCTCGTGAGGACCCTTGGCCCTTCCCTGCCTGCCTGGGCGCAGTCCCAGGACCCCGGGTCCAGAGCTGCTGGCGGGCAGGACGCGGCCCGTGACAAGGTCCCTGGAGGCAGGGACCGGGGTGGGGAGCCACGGGCGAGGCGCGGGGGCGCTGCCAGGCCCTCGCAAGTCCCGTCAGCCCGGCCGGGCGCCCCCGCTCTGTCACCAGCCCGGAGGCCCAGCGCGCTCCATCTGCCGTTTCCCGGGCGACCAGCGCGCCCCACCGAGTTCCCAGAGTTACTCATTAGCATAGCAGAGGCGCTCCGCCCTTCAGAGCTGTGAGCCCCCGCGGCCCAGACACGGGCTGAGGACCTTCTGGGCATCTGGAAGGCCACAGTGGTTTTTGCTGCCCGCAGGCCAGCGCCTGGCTGGGTGACAGGAGCGGGGCAGGGGCGGGGCCGCATGGGCTGGGGTGGGTGGCTCAGTCTTGTCCATCCCCCTGACTTGCCTTCCACTGGGGCCCTCGTGGGGGAGTCAGCCCGGTAGCTCCATCTGCGCCAGAACCTTCAAAGGCTCCCCAGTCCCTGGGGTCAAGTTCCAGGTCTGAACCTGACCCCCCAAGGGCCCCCAAGGGGAAACAAGCCGCTGAGCAGTGAGGGCAGCGAGTCAGAGGTGGGGACCTATGGCCCTTGCCGCGTGCCAGGGGCCAGGAGGACGCTGGAAGGTTTTGGGAACAAAACCACAGAGGAAGGGAGGAGTGAGTCCCTGTGCGGGTGAGGAGGGCAGGCTGGGCTACTGCTGGGGTGGAGGCGGCAGGGCCCCAGGGGGCCCCTCCTGGGCCTGTACCCCAGCACGGTCACCCCTCCCGGCCTGGGGAGGGCGCTGGGCAGGTGACACAGCTCTGCAGCCTCTGTCGACAGACACCGAAATGCTCTGAAAAATCAGAATTTCCAGGCTAACTTATGTGACGACCTCCCTTACTTGTATAATCATAATATCAAAATATTATGAGCAACCTTCAGTTTACAACTGGACTGCCTCAGCCCAGAGGCGCTACCGAGGCAAGCAGGCGCTGTGGCTCCAGGGCGGACACTCCCTCTTGAAGTCAAAGTGATTTTACAACTGGCTGATAATGAAAGCAACTGGCTGTTACCGCGAAGTCAGTATTGAGGCAGCATTGGGACATGCTCTTTACTGCCCGATGGAGGAAACCCAAATCTCATCACTCTCCCACCCCACAAAGTCTTCTATTCAGTTTCTAAACAACCCCGCGAGCTGCCCGCCCCCGGCCTGCACAGACAGAACTCTCCGAGTCGCCTCTTCAGGGCCAGTCAGGTTTTCTGCTGTCTCGACTACGGAGGAATTCACTTGAGCTTTCTAACTAGTTTGCAGGATGCTACTCTCTAGTCCTCAGATGAGGAACCTGGTCGGAGCTCCTTACGTTTTCTGCCGGCTGGACGTCAGGGAAATTCACTTCCACTTTGCAACTGGTTTTCAAAGCACTTGGCTGTAATTTGATTTACGAGAAATGTCCCCTCCTGCCCTCACTGTACCCCTAGGACGTCTCAGCGAGAAGGAGCCGCGAAGAGGCAGGTCGTGGCTGGCCCCGGGGCAAACAGCGATGTCAGTCTTAGGCGTGGCGTCTGTTACCCGCGTTACCCCGAAAGATGGGTTTTTAAACTGCTATGATCTCAGCCAAAGGTGAAAACGACCCCGGACTGTTCTCAGGACAAAGGTGATCGTGCCCTCGCCCGTGTCGCCCGCTGACGTCCCGCCGCCTGCGGGAACCGCGTGAGGCCGACCTCTGCTGAGAGCCCCGTGCCGGCCCGGCTCCCGCGTCTTCCTCGCGCCCGCTCCGCTTTGCCCCCCAGTTTTTGGAATCTCCGCTCGCCGACGTTGTTCCCACCTTAGGATCCTGCCTGTTCTGCCCCCCAACAGCCCGAGGCCGGGGTCAGCCTCCGACAGGCAGGGAGGAGCCCTGGGTGCAGACGGTGCCGCCCAGCGCCCCGCTGCCCGCCACAGCCCGCCCCCGCCGCGCCCCCCCAGCCTCCTCTCGCCTCCGCAGCTGCACCCAGACCGGCCCTCTCCACCCCACAGGAGGAGCCCCGCCCCGCGCCCTCACGTCCAGCGGGTGCGCCCAGCGTCCACGTCTGCCCATCCGCAGGGGCCTCTCAAGGGCCAGCCGCCCACCACGGACCGGGACCTCCCCAGGGGCCGAGGGCCGCGGGGACAGGGCCCGGCTCCCTGCTCTGCGCCGGGCTTCCCGCTCACTGAGACGGAGGCTGGGTTGTGATTGGCAGCCTCAGAGCGAGGGTCCTTGACTCCCTCTCGCGGGGAAGCTGACACTGGGCCCAGGCTCCGGCGGTGGGGCGGGGCCTGACCGGTGGGCGGGGCCGGGCCTGGCGGGTGGGCGGGGCCGGCAGAGGGCGGCCCTCCCCCAACACCTGTTCCAGCAGAGTGCGCGGGAGTGTGAGGACCGAGGGCCGGTGGCTGCCCCCTGCCGGCGACTGTGCTCCCCTTGGGGGTGGTCCGTTGGCCACCTACCCTTGGACAGGAGGCTGAGGCTCAGAGGGTTCTCGGGTCCTGGCAGGCCCGCCTCAAGCTTGGCTGGAGAGGTCTCCCCCAGCCCCGGCAGCCCGCTCCGGAGGCCTCCGGAGCCAGAGCCAGGCCTCATCCTGGGTGCGCGGGGCTGCGGCCGCGGGGCGCCAGCAGCCGCCAGCTGGGGGAGCAGCTGCCTGCGTAGGTCATGACCGTGACTGCGCCGGGGCAGCGCCCCAGGCCCGCCACCTCCTGGCGCTGGCCCCATTGCGTCGCTGGGTTCTGTGCCCTGAGACCTGCTTTCCTGGTCCCACTGCCCACTCTGCACGCCTGCCCAGAGCATCTCCCTGGAGCGAGGGGCTGCCTGGGTGGGCGGTGGGACTCAGGCCTGGGCCAGAGACCCCTCCGTCTGGGACGCTTCCAGGCTGGGCCCACATGCGGTGGAGTGCCCAGCAGTGCCTGGCCAGCCTGGGCCGCTGCCTTGCGGGGCGTGGCTGTGGGACCTGGCCCAGCCTCACCCTGGCCCGGTCAGGGCGCCGGGCGGGGCGCCGCCCTGTGCCGCCCGCCTGCGTGGGCTCTGTTCCGGGCTGGGATGGCCGCTAAGCTTGCCCAGGCCTGTGGCTCTCGGCCAGGTTGCCCCCTGGGCCTGCTGCCAGGCCCAGGCACAGAGGCGGGCTGCTGGTGACTCCGGCCCGGGGCTGACCCGCCCTGTCACGAGCCCCCCACATTGGAAGCCACTGCTCTGGAGGCTGCGGGGAGGGGCCCGGATGAGGGGGCCTGGGGACAGTGGCCTGTCACCTGGCTCTCTGGGCACCACACGGGGTCCCAGCCCTGGGGGTCCCAGCTCAGCCACACCTGCTGGTGGGGGCGGTGTCCTGGCCGCCCCAGGCCTCGGTCTGGCCCTCTAGACGGAGGCTGTCTGCGTCTGGGGGCCGGCGTGGCCTGGGCCCAGGAGCGCCGGAGCCTCCTCTCTCCCGGAGGCTGGGCGTCCCCCTCTGTGGCCCAGGGTTCCCCGAGCCAGGGGATGTCAGTGAGGTGGGTGGCTCTGCTTCCTGGGCGCTGCCGCAGGGTGGGAGGGAGTGCCGGGGGCAGGCTGGGGTGGCTGGGCCTCCCCAGATACTGCAGCAGGCGCCATGGCCCAGAGACGGATGTGCCAGTGCCGGTCGGCCCCGTGAGTGGCAAGATGTGACGGACTGACCCTCCGGGGCCTGCGGAGTAGCCACCGTGCCCCTGGGTGCTGTGAGGACCAGGGTCAGTTATCTTATGCACAAGGGTGGGCGGGGCTGGGGCTGGGCTGGCCTTGGCATCCTCACCGAATGGGGCTGTTGCCGGGGCAGGAAGGCTCTGCCCTGTCCCACCACTTCTGGTCCAGCTGGCACTCACTGCCTGATGCCATCGTGAGTGATCAGCCGTGGACAGTGGTCAGTGCCAGGCCTTGACCTTGGCAACGAGGCTGCCATCGATGGGAGGCTTGAGAGCCTGCCCCCTGGCCGGGGCTGGCCGGGGGGCCACGGATCAGCTGCAGCCCTGTGGACCCCCGGCCCTCCCGGGCCTCCCTGTCTGCTCCGCAGGCCCAGGGACAGCAGCTGCCAGTGGGGCTGGGGGTGCCGCGAGGGGCCAGTCCCAGCTCAGGGGCAGGGGTGGGTGGGCCAGGGACTCGGCTCGCCCACACGGTGCCTCCTGGCCTGTGCCAACGGCTGACCTCACGGAGCCCAGGCCTCGCCTTGGCTTGTGGCCGGTGCCGTTGCCTAATTAGGTTCATGCCAGCCCAGCCGAGCCCCACGCCCGGCACCCCGGCAGGCGTGTCGGGGCACAGCTCGGGGCCCCGCTGCAGCAGGAAGCTCAGAGCCCACTCGGGAGCCCGCCGGGACGGGAGCGCCCAGAGCCAGCCTCGGCCTCCGGGCTGTGTGGCCAGGGAGGCGGCAAAGTCCAGGTGCCTGGGCTGGGAGACCCCACACTGGCCGGTGAGCCGAGCAGGGCCAAAGAGGAGGGTGGGCCTGGGCGGGGCGGCCACGGGGCCAGGCACTCTGGGGCTTCAGGCCACCTACAGTCCACTCCCTCTGCTCTTCTGAGGCACAGCACTCCAGCAGGCCAGGCCAGCCAATCTGCCTGTCTCGGGGGTGGGCAGGAGGGACCCCAGGGGTCAGGGCAGGAGGGAGGGCGCCAGGCAGGCCTGCCCAGAGCCCGGGCCTCCTCCAGCTGCTCTTCCCACCGGACGGAACAGGACTCTGGGGACCCCGTGTCCCCATGAGACCCAGAAGCTCTGGAGCTTGGAGCCCGGGCCGGCAGGTGGAGAAGGCAGGAGGGGGGTTCTGGGGGGCTGCGTGGGGGCGGAGCCCCTGGGGTGGCCATGAGGAGCAGCCCCGGCCTGCACGGGGCTTGGAGTCCAGCCAGTGGTGGAGGAGTAGATGCACTGGACAGCCAGGGCCTCAATTCACCAGCCACCAGTGGCCGCCACGCCACTAGCCCGAGGACCCGAGGCTGCGGCGACCCCAGCTCTGCCCTTGGTCAGACTGGGGGTCCCAGCTCAGAGGGACGGTCGCACTGGCCACAGCTACTGACGGTCACTGGCCCTCTGGCCCCACCGCTATTCTTCCCAAGACCCAGGTCTCAGGCGGAAGGCTGGGCACTGCTGTCGGCCCCTTCCACACCCCTGCCCACCGCACTCTCAGCCCTGGCCCTGGACAGGCCCCGCCAGCCGCTGCCCTTGCCTCTGCAGGTGCGTGGTGAGCGGCGGAGGCCGGCCAGCGGGGCCCCAGGGCAGACGCCTTTCCTTTGTGCAGCCAGCCCTGCTGTGACTGACCAGCTGCCGCGCAGGCCTCAGTGCCGTGATGGTGCCCCCGCCCGAGGGCCCTGCCCCTGGCCTGGACAGCCGACGGCAGTTCCTGGGCGCCAATGTCCTGCCTGTGGGTGAGTACGGGCCCTGGGCAGCGCCTTGGGCTTTCGGCCTTTCCCAGCCCTCCTGGGAAGGGGGCTCCCTGCTCCCAGAACGTAGGTGGGCCGCCCGGCCCACCTGGGCCTGTGCCCCGTGCGCCTGGGGCCGCCATGTCCAGCCGAGTGCACAGGCCTGGTGCAGGTGTGGGGGCGGCGGGCCCCTGCGGG